ATTAAATTTTTATTTTGATTCAAAATTTTATTTTATTTATTTTTTAATCTTTGAGTTTTTTTTTAAAAAAAACTTGTTGAATAATAATAAAAGAGAGACAAAGTTATCAGCTAACCACATTTTAAAAATAAAAAGTATTGATATTGGTGTCAAAGAGTTTTATTGAAGTTTCATTAAAGTGTTTTTAAACTCTCAAATTTTATGAAAAACTATATCTAGGTTGAGAGAGAACACTTTTGATTTGATTTTGTATTTTTAAACTGATTTAAAGATGTTTTGAGTTAAGAAATTTTTTTTAAAAAAGAGCTAGGGATATTTATTAGAATTTTTGGGTAAAAACAGCTAAAAAAAAGAAATTTTTAAACAAGAAAAACCCCAACCTAAATTTTTTTGACTAACTTGGACATTGTTTTTCCAAAAAAAAAGAAAGATGGATTACGTGTTGCCGCTTCTTAAAAAAAAGAGGCCAACCATGTATGCTTAGCTTGATAGGCTCTCACACATCTAGTCCCGGGTTTATTGGGTTAGGCTCCAAACCCCACCCCTGTATACTTTTTTCATTTAACATTTTTTTTTAATTTAGATTTAAATTCATTGTAAAAAAATTAATATTATATCTCAATTGTTATTCATTTTTTCATATTTATCAAATAATATTATAGGTTTTTGGAATGTTAATGTTCTTTCCACTTATTTTGTGCCTAATATGATTAAAAAGCCATGAATATTTTTATTAACATAAATTTATGTTTTTTACTTATTTTTAATATAATTTTATCATATTTATCATTTTTTTTACTTCAATTATATATAAAATACCCAACATTGTGTTAATGTTTTATTTTAAATTTTCTTTTAAGATCTTAATGGATTTTTGTATAGAAAACAATGCTTGCAATTTACAAAATATCCTAACATTGGGTTGGTACTTAATTTTATGAATATCTATTTTTTATCATGTTATTAAATAAAAAGATAGTTATAAAAAATAGTGAGTCATTAGTTTCACTTGAGTCTATAATCAAGTTGTGGATTTAGAGAGTTAACCAAAATTATTGAACTTGGTGGAGTCCATGATTGAAATCATGGGTTTGGCAATTAACTAGAATTAATTGTTTTTAAATTGATTTTTTAATTTTATTTTCTAATATTAGATTAATTAAGAATTAGTCTTCATAAGTTATTTTTATTTACTTTTATATAGTTGCCTTACTCTTAAATAAACATCCTCATATTAGGTTGAC